AATTAATTTCATCGGTCAAAATTGTTAAAACCGATTTCAAAAATTTTAATACCATTCATTATTAAACATATTAAAACAAATGTAGTCAATCAAAAAACTTGTAATTGTGGGCGTGACATTTTATTAAAGACAACTTTTGTATGTTATTTTAGAAAAACTCTGATTTTTGTAAAATTTATCAGAAGTAAATTTACTTCCTCGCAAACTATTATGGGTAAATCCGTGCAATTTTTTGGTATGTTGATAACAGCCTCTAAGGAATGGTATAACGTGTCACTGTACCATTTACACCTGCTGGGTTATTAAATGTTTTCTTAAGTATCGCCGATTTGGCCGATGAAACCCGATTCTGAGCCACATGAAATTGGTCTAGTTTCAACAATCGTTAGCAAACAAAACCGGTAAAGCGCGTCGGTAATTTTGTAAAGAATACATCAGAAATTTGTAAACATGTAATATGATCTAATTAAACTAAATGAACTGCTTTCAGTCTTCTGTTGTCCAATTTTGTATACTTTACAAAATTACATTCGATTTTTTACCACTGTTATGTAGTGTAATAAATATAAAAAACCATGTGAATTATCTTAAATCAGTTATTCGTCAATAATTGCAAAATTTTGGTTGAAATTGATCCATTATTTCACCTAACCAGGTCTCATTTGAAAAACTCTTTCAAAAAATCAGTTTTTCATCAATAACTTGTTAAAATATGTGGGAAGTATTAAGTTAAAATTGCCATAAATATTATATTAAAAAGAGTAAATCACTATTTTAAATGTACTCATAGCTGGTGAAGAGTATTATTATGTCGCCCAAGCACGACTGTAATTTCTAACTTTTTTTTGTTTATCAATTCTCAAAGTTTTGTTCAGAAGTTTGGAATTATTTGTGTCATAAATTTTTTAAATGTTTGAATTAGCTTATCTTATTACTGAGTTATCAAACAATCCTCGTATGTTATCATAAAAACTCACACATTTTCATTTGAATTTCGAGATGTGCGTTCGGAATAGTAACAATTATTTTCCAAATTTTAATTAAATTAAATTATATTATATAAAAAATCATTAAGTGTTTCACTTAAATTCAATACTCATGTAATATTCAGGGTACATCTGCAAGTTTAATATTGTGTTTTGTTTTGAATTGTGTTTCTGAAATATTACATAGAGCAAAATTAATAAAATTTTAAGCTAATTACACTGTATTACACCTGAAAACCCCCATTACACGATATAATGGTTTTTATAGACCTAGATGGATAGATCATTTTACCATTTTTAGAATCTTCAATATACCCTAAAAATCGTAAAAAAACTCATTTTTTGGACTTGACAGATTAAAAAAATTATATCTCAAAAGTTTCTTAACCGATTTAATATTCTACACATTTCCTTAAAAAATATAAAAGTGTGTGTTCTTTTTGAAAAGTACAAAGGAAACTCTTTTCGAAACAGTTTAATAATATAAAATCGATTAAGAAAATTTTGATTTTTTCCAATATCTTTCGATTTTTAGGGTATATTGAAGTTTCTAAAAATGGTACTGTAATCTACTCTACTAGACCTACAAACGTCACTAGGTATCGCAATGAGTGTATTGAATTTTGTCACACCGTGTTATTATCGTTTCAATCCCATCCGCATTTCTCGAAATTTGGTTCTGTGTAAGTATTTAACTCTCTTCGTCTTTATGAATTATAAAAAGCAGTTGCTCGAAACCCGTAGAAGCTCTGGTACCTACAATTATTTAATGGCAAAATAAATTATATAAATTCATACATACATATGTACGTATAAGTATTAGATTCCGAACAAAACACTTTTTTAACCGAATCGAAACTTTTATTACTAAAAGAAGTTTCTGCTTGAATTTTTCGAACATAAAATATTGGCGGAACTTTAATCTGTACCAAAGCGGCCGAACAGTAATAGTAAAAAATATGTAAATAAAATATAAATGTAAAATAAACAACAAAAGTATTATTTACGCTTTAAAATTTATCTTAATTAGTATGTTTTTACATACAAGTGCCATTTGACAAAATGGAGTCTTTTTTAATTTTGTATGTACCCTAATAATCATAGATGATTTTAAAATAATGTGTTGCCAAACATATGAATATAATAATTATGTATATATGAGCATTTGTTGTCATGTAAAGTTTGAGATGTCTATTTATGTATGTATGTACAGTGGGGCCTTAAATTTGACTTTTTCGATTTTCGTTCATAATATTATTTATCACAATGTTAAACAACATGTAAACAATATTATAAAAATTTTCAAAATATTGTTTAGTTATAATTGTTGTAGTTGTATTGTTTAGTCGAAAAGTAAACAAGTAAGAGTGTTATATTCGGCCATGCCGAATCTTATATACCCACCATCAAACCTCGTTTGACTCGAATGAAACTTACTTATGTCGAATTTCATCTATATACTCGTATATACAGTTATAAGCGTTAAAGTAATTTTCTGAAGGGGACCTTATGGGTGTAGGGTCAATTATGGGACGATCATCATAAAATTTGGTAGACAGAATTTGGTTCGTATTAAATTTATTTGTGTCGAATTTCATCGCTACACTCGTATTTTTAAGCCATTAATGAGCGTTGCAGTAATTTTCTGAAGGAGACCTTATATGGGGGGTAGGGTCAATCATGGACCGATCCTCATAAAATTTTTTAGATAGATTTTGACTTGTATGAAACTTACTTATGTCGAATTTCATCGCTATATTCGTATTTTTAAACAAGTTGTGGCTGCTTTTCGAGGGGCCACTTGTATGGGAGCTATCCGAAAACGTGGACCGATATTGCCCATTTTCAATACCAAACAAACCTTACCTATAAGAAATATTTATGTGAAATTTCAACCCTCTAGCTCTTTCCATTGGGACTCTATCGTGCTTTCAACAGACGGACGGACAGACATGGCTAGATCGTCTTAGAATTTAATGAGGACCCAGAATATATATACTTTAGTGGGTCTATGACCAATATTTCGATGTGTTACAAACGGAATGACAAAATCAATATACCCCCATCTTTTTTGATGGTGGGTATAAAAATATACAAGCTCTGCAGAATTGAATACCCTTAATTTAACGCATTTTGAAGGTATACATATCGCTCGTTTACTACTAAAAGGCTCCAACTTCCTTTATATAGTATAGGTCGATTGGAGGACCTTCTCCGAACCAACGAGGGATAACCAGGCATTTTGAGTGTTTAATACATACAAAAAATTACAAAGTAAAACAATTTTCATTTATCTAATTTTCGTGAAAACATGATTTTTTACGTTTAGAACAAAAAATCGATCTCACATCGAAAATAAGACATATTTGAAATCTGATAAGTTTATATGAAATACTTTGGTATGACGAATGTTTTGTATTCCTCGGTTCATGAAACCCAAATTTTAGATTTTACCAGTTTTGTAGTGAATGAGCGATATGTATATGATATAAAGATATCCACGAAAACATCACAATATACGAAAATATTTTAGTTTTCGAATCTAATATTTTTATTATGTAATGAACATTTATCCTTGGATCTATTCGACATGTATGTAAATGTTTTGTTGTATCTGAATTATAATTATTTTTTATCTAAAGAGGCCAAAATTAAATTGACATAACTGCATCTTTGGTCTATAACATGGAATGTTTTACTCGTTTTCTGAGTTTATCTTGAAGTACACATACTCCTTGAAGTTGTTTTAGTTCCTAAACTAATCTTTAATTAAGGCGAGAACATTGTATTGTACTTTTCAAGTTATTGCTGAATACTATCACTTGACATTTCATATCAAAATGGTTTTTTGTCCACATTTTTAGTTCGATCAAAATGTTTTATTTCAAAATTCGTTTACAATTTTAAGATATATTTATATGTATGATTTTTTTTAAATCCCAACGGTAATATATATATTGAAATGAAAAAGAACTCTATGATGAAAGTAGTGCAAATGTAGCACTAAATTTACGTTAGGTTTAGTTTTAGTAGCAGACTTTTTTTAAGTTTTAATATATAAAACTTTATATGTTTCTGTGACAGAATTCCTTCGCATTTGATATTTCATTCCTTTTTTGTATGAAAGTGACACTAGGAATATTGAATAATACAAGAGAAAATGTATGTATTAATATAGTAATAAAATAATTTTAAATAATTTTTAGTAATTGTGAACATATAGCATTTTTCGATAAGAAATTTTATCGAAAATCGTTCCAATAACAAGTAATTGACCTTTGTCAAGTGTTTATTCTTCTTTTGTAGAATTCATACCTTTAGATGACGTAATATTATTTTGAAATTGCAAGAACTGAAAATCGAAAAAGTCTCATTATAAAGCACCAGTCTAATATACAGTTGCTCACATAAGTCTGCAGATTTATAAAAAAGCTGAAAAGAGACACATAATTCAACGTATCACATATGTAAATCCGTATATAATTTGATTCTAGTATTGTTTATGTTTTATACAATTATTCACTAAAGTTTGTAAATAAAAAAAAATGAATTTACTTACTACATAATAATAACTTTAATATATCTTAAATTTACAAAAAATTGGAATTTCATGAAATCTTAGACAAGTGCAGACAACGTGAAGAACTCCATAAAGGCCCTACCTTTGCAATTTACGATCAAAACTTAATATAAAACTTTAGTCTTGAGTTAAATGTAGTGTTAGCACCCAGTATATTATAGAAAAATACACCCAGCCCAGGTATGTCACATATTTTATAAGAGCTTTTAAGCTATTTCAACTGTTATCGTCATGATTGTGATTATGACTGAATAGATTTTTTTTTTAATAAATGATTTTAAATTAATTGATTAAACATTGAAGAAATAGACGCAAATTGTTAGCCCTACATTAAAAAATTTTAAATTGCGATAAAAATAAATAATGTTACTAATAAAAAATATGACATATGAATTCAAGATAAATCAGTTTAAAAAATAAGGCGGGCGCCAACATAACTGTTAAGTAAAAGTTTATTAAATTGTATTTCATTAATATTTATTCTGTTATTTACATTTTTTAAAATGACATAATTTCATATTACAATCTTCTGTAAGGTAGTTTTATACAATCTAACATTAATCTTTAAGATTGTGTAAATAATTTTACAATGTTATTCCCGAGGGAAGGAAACATTCTGTGACAGGTGTATGAACTGACCGAATATCATTTAATCTGTTTCTAACTATTCACAAAATTTGATCACAATAATTGGTCATTCTTTTTAAGAAAGTTTAAAGTGGAATTGCCACTTATGGACAGGTATGTCTCATTTTCACAAGCCACTGGGTAAATTCGATCGGCACAAATTTCTCCAAATAGTTATTGTATTTTTATGAAATCGCGTCTCTTTTATTATGCTATAGCAAAATTCGCTTAACTTATGTGAGATACTGTATGTTCGTATGTATATTTAAACTAAAAATTCTACATCATTGTATTATATATTGTTATTTTTAGCAGCATATTACTTCACATAACTTAAATTGTAGTATGTAAAAGACAATTATTATCATTAATTAGGTCAAAATTAGCCTTTTGGTCTACAGCTGTCCTGACCTTTCATTTGAATTGAATCACCATCAGAAACCACTACTGTACCCAGTTATATCGGTGGGTTTCAAACGATCGAACATTGCCAAATGATGAGCAGCTGTATGATGGGCATGGGGATGTCCATGATGATGATGATGGTTGGCGTGGTGAGAGTGGGGATAAGCTGAGTAATTGCTTTGACTGGCTGTGGCTGTAGGATAGCCATATGGGTAATTGGGACTGGGCATATGTAAAGTATGGCTAGCAGTTACGTTGCTTTGTGTAGGCGCGTACGGATTGTTTGAGGTTGCATAATCAGATCCTGCCGAATGTTGCGTAGAGCTCCCATAGTGCGCAGCTGCATGATGATGATGATGTGCAGCCACAGCTGTATGATGATGATGCGTTGGTGGAGCTGCTGTAGCATATAAAGAATTGACAGGTACATGAGTTGTCAAATGAGCATGTGGATCCATGTACATTGATGTGTGATGGTTGGTAGTGCCTGCAGCAGCTGTGGGTGTTGAAAGATTTGTGGGTGTATTAGCTGCGGCAGCAGCTAAAACGGCTGCAGCCATTAGATTTGAATGGTGATAAGCATTTGGATTGGTTAGAGGTCTGCTGTTTGACGACAGACCATAATTTTCGTGGGCGTTGCTGCTGTTGTTATTACTTGACGCAGATGACGCTGCTAAATTGCTAACAGAAAAATTACTATTTAGCAAATTCGAAGAAGCATTTGACTGTTGGATTTGATTGTTGTTTGAGGATGCTGAAGTTGGACTGTTACTGGCAGTTAAAAGATTTTGAGGCCCTGTCATAGCAGAAAAATGGGATTCGTCCCCTACATGCGAGTCAGCCAGACCTTGAAGTCTGCTTTCAACTGCTGCAGCAGCAGCAACCTGTGCGTTGACAGCTGCTGCCGAGGATAGAGCAATTGATTCGCTTTCAGAAATAGTGGGTATTTGGTCTACTAAGGACTCAAGACCGGATAAACTTTTTCGCGCAACATCACTACCGCTATGTTGATTTTGATGATTATGATTATCGTGATTATGTGAATGTGTTTGATGTATCTGGGAACTCAATAAATACGGATTATTGGCAAGGTCATCATAACGGCTTTGTCTTATCGGCCATTGTGAAATTTCTTGGTGTTGGGATTGTGGTTGTTGTTGTTGTTGAATTGCTTGCATTTGTTGAGGTTGATCATGATAATTGAGTGATGGCTGTTGGGGTGAATTAACAAACATCGTACTTGTCACAGCTGCAGGAGAATGAATATTATGATTAGGTTGTGGTGAAAGCCACTGCTGAAAATGTTCGTTTGTATTATGATCTGGTGTAGCTTCACCACTGTTTATAGGACTATTAAAACGCGATCTCTGATGATTACTATGCAGTCGTTGATGTATTGTATTCAAATCGGAATTTACATTCTCGTTTACAATCGCTGAAGATGTATTTGATGCTGCTGGAGGTTCAAAATCAACATTACAGATGTTAGGAGAACTGGGAGGTGGTGACTCACCAAAGTTTTGATCTCGTATAGTATGCTGGTGATTTGTTGACTCCACTAAATCTGCTGAAGATGTTGCTTTCGAAGATTCCCTCCCATTGCTATTTAAACACAACTTATCATGATGTGGCTGTGAAGGAGGTGTGTTGGTGGTATAGGAGCAATTTAGAGATGGCGAAGCCATTGGGGAAGCCATAGGTGAATAAATGCTTCTTTGATGTGGTGGTGGTGTCGAGTACAAGGCTACATGTTGATTCGTTTGCACACCTTGCATTTGATGTGTTGCGCCTTGTGTTATATCACTGGTCAGAGATTGAATAGACATTATATTAGGTTTTTGTCCCAACATTGTATTCGACTGTCCAATATCCGTTTGCATCATATTTGGATGTGGTTTAACTTTTTTAGGTCTACCCCGCTTTTTCTTTGGCATTTCACTATTAGAAACTTGTACAACAGACAAGTTTAATATATTGGAGTAATCTCCACTATTGCTACTCATCAATTGGCTATTCACCTGTATTTTATTGCCAGTAACAGGATCTATCATTTCTTGCCCTTTAATCTTTTTAGGTCGCCCTCGCTTCTTTTTTTCATGCTGAGTGCCCACCAACGATGACATCATAAAATTATTACTTACATTGTTATCGCCAGCTGGAGGTCCAGGGCCTTCTCCAGCACCATGTGAATTAGTTTCAGGGTCAAATGAATACCCTACTGGATTTTGTAATGGATTATTTGTGTTTGAAATCCCTATTGCATTTTGGTAGACCGGATCATTTGAGCTTGTTGCACTGCTTTGCTGATTTTTATAATTTTCCTGTTCACATTGTTGTTTAATGCGCTCTTCAGTGAAAACACATTCCGATTGATCAATGTGTGGTATTAGACCATTTAGATAATCTCGAAATTTCTTCAGTGCTGCATAAAATGGCACTTTATCTGCTGCCCTAGGCAACTGAGCACAACGCGCTGATGACGATGGCATAACCCAAATGAACTGAAAGTAATAAACATTTAACATTTTATTAACATTGTTGTCTAACATATGCACCTATGTATGTATGTATGTATGTATGTATGTATGTATGTATGTATGTATGTATGTATGTATGTATGTATGTATGTATGTATGTATGTATGTATGTATGTATGTATGTATGTATGTATGTATGTATGTATGTATGTATGTATGTATGTATGTATGTATGTATGTATGTATGTATGTATGTATGTATGTATGTATGTATGTATGTATGTATGTTAAGTCCTTTTGTATTGTAATAAGAAATACATATAATTTCGATTTTGGTATAAACAACTATAGGAATAAATAATAATATGAATTCATAATGTATATGAATTCAAACTTCCATCGGTTTCATCCCAAATATAATAATAAGATTCGTATTAATTATATTATAAATTGTAAAATTATGTGCCTAAAGTTTCATTGGATTGAGGTAAAAGCTTTACTGTTTGTATATCAATACAAATCAGCAAACGTAATCCTGATTTACCACTTTCAATATTTTGTTTTTTTATACCCTCCACCACCATCAGTGGTGAAGGGTAGAGTGTATTTGTCATTCCGTGTGTAACACCAAGAAATATTCATCTGAGACCCAACAAAGTATATATATTCTGGATCCTTATGAAATTCTGAGTCGATTTAGCTATGTCCGTCAGTCTGCCTTAAACACTATCACTTTAAAACAAGTAAGAGTGCTATATTCGGCTGTGCCGAATCTTATATACCCTTCACCATAGTGACTATATCATTATTATAGCAATAGAAAAACAAAGTGAACAACAACAACGCTAAACGAAATAACCACGCAAAATATACAGAAGGCAATGAAACACACAGGCATCCAAACATACGAAACGAAATACTAAAAAAAAATACACAACGCCAAGAAACAAAAAAAATATACACAAGGCAATGAAACACACAGCCATCCAAACATATGAAGCGAAATACTGAATGAATAAGCAGTGTTGTTGTTGCTTATATATCAAAGCATAAAAAACTGTCTTTTTTATGAAATTTTCAGAGGTTGTCTCGGATTTTTGCTCATATCTCCGGAATTTATGGGCCGATTTTGCTGATTTTAAATAGCGATCTTCTCGAAAGCATGTCTAACAGAATTATTGACAGACAGACAGACGGACATAGCTTAATCGACTCCGCTACCTATAAGGATCCAGAATATATATGTTTTATGGGGTCGGAAAATTATATTATAGAAATTACAAACGGAATGACAAATTTATATATACCCTTCTCACGAAGGTGAAGGGTATAATAAGCAAAGAAATCAGCCAAATTCACTACTGTCCTAAGCAGTTTTGTATTAAAAATCAAACAAATCGGCTCAAAACGTAAAAATTTCAGACTTCCTCGAAAAAAATAAGTTTTTTTTCCTAATTCTTGAGTTGTTTTCTCAGAAACTACTAAAGATAATTGGATCAATTTTGTCACATGTTATTTTCTTTGCCCAGGGATAAATATGTTCAAACTCAAAACAATCGATTTCGGAAATAGATTTATCGTTAATAACTTCGGCCAAAAAATGGTATCACCACGAAATGTATATAATATGAACAGAAATCATATTACCAACGTAGATTTGTATAGGTCCATTATTGGTCATAGCTCCCATAAATTATCCACTTTAGCTTTAAATAATTTAGAAATAATGATATTGGAATAATATTCGACATAAACATGTTTTGTGTATACATATATGACTTTGCAAAATATTTTTCCGATTGTTCTAACCACGTAAACGCACATATTTCAAAATGAGTCAAAAATGTTTTTAAGAATGACTTCGGTAAAATATCGAATTGAGCTTTTTTCACAAAACTTACACTTACAGGTATCCTTCCCATAACTTTGAAATTCAGGAGTTATTAACCATGACTTAATTTAAAGCAAGTTTTTTATACAAAATTGTATGAAAAATTAAACAAACAGAAAAAAGTGGAATCAATTTCGATTTATATGGAAAATGCTTCAGGACCAATTAATATAATGGTATACGCACAATTGGGACGAACGACGAATTTCGTATAGCACGACGAACTAATCGACAAAAATTTGTTGCGTAAATTCGTCGAATGGAACACAATCAAATTATTCGTTCTGCGAATTCGATTCAAAATTTGTTTGTTCGAAATTTTGTTTGTTTTGTTTGTTCGAAAATTTAGTTTTAGTTTGTATGACCCAAAAATTATTTTAAGAGCATAAAAACTTTTTCGAACATATCTTCGAATTTTCGAATATAATTTCGAATATTCGAACATAATATTGTATTGTCATTAGCTGTACCCACAACCGCAAAATTTCAGCAAATTCGGGCTACCGGAATTGCTCTTAAAACAATTTTCCCCAATTAATTTTCCCATAATTAATTAATGCTTCTAGCACGCTTTTTTCCACCTTTTATTTTAATATTGTGATTACAAAAGATACTTTCAGCAAGGCCTGATCTTCCTACATAATTTTCTTGTACATTTTATTTATATTGGACCAGTGCACAGTGGTCTAAATACTCATTCTGGCGTCATTTGATTTAAAACAGCGTTGAAACATAATTATTTATTTTTGTTTCACTTGGAAAAGTATAAAAAAGTAAATTTTAAACACATTTCATTTATTTTAATAATTTAGATATAACAAATTTGCACAATTGATACGTAGTTTTAAGGCAAAAATGCATGTTTCTAATCAGAATTATAAGAACAAACAGCGTGTATCGTCAAACAGTACCTATTTATAATTTCGACTCCGAGCAATATGCAATATGTTTACTAACCTATGTGCCAAAATAGGTTAGTAAACTAAGTACAGCCTTATGTAATCAATTCGTTTTTGGACTAAAAAACCAGAAAATTCAAAGCCCCCTGCTTGAAAAGGGGCAACTAACTTTGGAAACAGCACTAGCCATAGCGAAGACATATGAATGTTCCCAAAAAGTTGCAGAGGATTTGCAACAATCAACATTGTTGCAATTCCTTCTTATCCTGTTCTTTTCAAAAGAAAAGTAACAGGATAAGTTGCCAAAACCCATTATAAAAAGGAATTGTTATCGTTGTGGAAGCGGTCAACATTTAGAAAACTAATGCAGGCATAAGGATACAGTATGCAGTTTTTGCGGCATAAAAGTCATCTAAAACGCGCATGTTTTAAAGTCAAGCGCCAAGTGAACCAAATTGAGGAGGAGCACAATGCCGATTCAGCCGAGGAAATGCTACAAATCTATAAAAGGGTGGTAGGGACCCTCGAGGGTAATAAGTACTCTGACCTTTCTAAATATTATTGTAATTTTATGGTTAATAATGTAAAAATAAAATTTTAAATTGACACAGGTGCCCCCGTAACTATTTTGAGTGTTAGTGATGCAGAGGAATATTTTGGCAAATCTGAAAGGTATAAAAGTGACATTAAGCTATATAGTTATTCCAATACCTCAGATAACATGACGGGTAATGCGGATTCACCAACTCTAAAGTTGTATGTGGTAGAGTCAAAAAGAGGACCGTTGCTTGGTCGGGAGTGGTTAAGAACAATAAAATTAAATTGTTACAATATTCTTAGTGGTAACAGAGGAAATGTAAATAATGTACAAGCACTTCATGCGGATGTTGAAAACAAATTGAAAAAGATACTGCATAAGTATTACAGTATTACATTTCCAAACGGCAGGCAAAATTATTGGCTACCAGTCCAGAATAAATATTGATCCGTCTGCTACCCCAAGATTTTTTAAGGCCAGGAAAGTTCTCTTTTCATTTATGGAGACAGTAGAAGCCGAGTTTCAGAGACAAGTGTCAGAGGGTTTATTGGAGAGGGTGGATTTCAGTGAATGGGCCACACCACTTGTGGTGGTACCAAAAAAGATAGAAAAGTGCGGTTATGTGGTGACTATAAAATATCCATTAACCCAGTGATGAAAGTAGATGAGCACCCCCTACCCACAATTGAGGAATTATTCAGTACAATTTCAGGGGTACAAAAATTTATTTGTGTCAAGCGTATTTACAACTTAACAATTAATACTCATAAGGGCTTTTTTAGACCAACCAGAATGATGTTTGGGGTAGCTTGCGGAGCCGCGATATGGCAGCGATTTATCGAACAACGGCTTCATGATATTCCAGGAGTTTCCGTATTTCTTGATGATGACAAATTAATGACAAATTGCACCTCGAGAGAATAGAAGAAGTATTGAAGCGTTTAGCAAGACATAATATGCGTATAAATGCTAATAAATCAGATTGGATGAAGGATGAAATTGAGTATTGTGGATATAAAATTAATAAACATGGTATTGGAAAAGTAAAAACTAAAATTATGGCTATAAAAACATGAAAAGGCCAAGTAATAGGGATGAAGTTCGGGCATTCGTAGGTATGATAAACTGCTATGGTCGGTTTATACAACAAGTAAGTACCATATTATATCCTATTAATAATTTGTTAAGGAAAGGTGTACCTTTTAATTGGAGTAACGATTGTGAGAATTCTTTCAAGGAAATAAAAAGACAAATGCTATCGGATACGGTACTCGTCCACTATAACCCGAAAATGTTATTAGTTTTGGCGGTGGATGCTAGCCCGTATGGCGTGAGGGCCGTCTTAAGTCACAGACGGATCAGAACGGCCAATACAATTTGCTTCACAAACGCTATCGTCTACACAACAGAGGAATAGCCAAATTGACAAAGAGGCCTACGAACGACATAGAAGTCGAATCAATTTTAAATTTACCAATTTTAACCAATTTTAAATTTAACTGTTAAAGAATTAAGCAAAGAAACAGCAAAAGAAAAATAAATTAAATTAAATTACTAAGCGATTGCCTGAAATACGGCCGTCAATGTCCTGCTGCTGATCGCTTTGGTATTCCACAAACCGAATTTAGTATGAAACAAGGGTGCATACTTCGTGGTATACGCACATATATTCCAACTTCCTTGCGAAAAAGGTTTT